CTCTTCCGACGCGCACCGGTGCCTTGTTTATTTGCACTGTTCCCCTGAATGCCAAGAACCTGGTTCCTCTAAAGACCTTTAGGTCTTTAAAGACAGAAAACACTATTTCTGCTATGTCTGTTCTCAGGGGAAAAAATTAGGCGAAACACCCCCTACCCACCAGGAGCTGAATTACCCAGAATGTTAATGGCGAGCAGGACCCCCAGTATTCAGGGATTTTCTTTCCAAAGGGCCATTTCTGGAAAACAGCCTTTCTGACTTCCCCAGACTGAATGACTTCCAAGTTCCCTCTCTCCAAAGTTCCCCAATTCAATTAACTTGGTTTGACTTGCTCTCCTCTTCCATAACCACGCTTTCCCCCCTTCCTTTTTTTTTTTTTTTTTTTTTCCTTTGCGGTACGCGGGCCTCTCACCGTTGTGGCCTCTCCCGTTGCGGAGCACAGGCTCCGGACGCGCAGGCCCAGCGGCCATGGCTCACGGGCGCAGCCGCTCCGCGGCATGTGGGATCCTCCCGGACCGGGGCACGAACCCATGTCCCCTGCATCGGCAGGCGGACTCTCAACCACTGCGCCACCAGGGAAGCCCTCCCCCCTACTTTTGTTCTGTGCGGTCAGTTCTCCAACTGAGACGCTTTCCAGGTCTTCACACTTGCTGCCTTCCAGTTCTTTAATAATCCCTGCTTCCTGCCTTTGCGCATCCATTGCATCCATTTTCTTCCTTTTTCTTCCCCCCTTCTTCAGAGGCGAGTCCTAAAGGACCCAACATCAAAACACCAGCACAGAGCATTCCTAGGAGATATTTACATCCACAGGGAGCGGCAGGCTACAATGGAAGGAGTCTGAGTATTTGTAAACCAGCATTTTCTCCCATCCCATGTCTCCCCAGTCTTACCAATAAGCCCCGAGTAGGCGAGGAGGCAATCAGCGTAGTTTTCCTTTAGACAGCTGCTGACAGACCTTGACTCTGGCTGACAGTTGGTAAAAAAATCCGCCAGGCGAGATCTGCAACAGGAAGAAAGTAGGGGGTAGGGAATATGCTTTAAAATAGCCTAAGCTTCTGGAGAGACATAACTTTTCTTTACTCCTTCCTTGATAGGCCTTTTTCCACACCAAAAAATACAGAGAACGTGAACTCTTAAAATATTAGCATCCTCTCTTATGCGTGCCCCTAACCGTCCCCTCGCCCTCCTGTGTGGGCGTCTTGCAGAGAAGACTTCAGGGCCTATAACTGGAGAAATCTAGATGCTTTGAAGTTTCCATTCAATATTTATTTCTGACTAGACTTATTTGCATCTTTAGGAAATGTGCTTCTCCACACACTCACCGGAGGTCCACACTGGGAAAATATTTACTTTATACAGAAACATGTCCCTGGCATCAAAATAGGATCCTATAGCCCAACTGCTCCTGTAATTACTAGTGGCTTTAAAAATACGTGTATCTGTCATCTAAGTCATCTCTCATCTACCACCCCAGGGAGGGGGCAGTGGTTTATTCCAGCCAAGTGATACTGAGGAGGAGCTCGCCTTTCCAGAACTGAAGGGAAAGGCAAAAGGGACAGGGTGATGCTGGCTCAGGGTGCAGTTTCACTGTCTGACTGGGTGTAGGGGGCCCACTGATCAAAGCGAAGCATCTGTCTGTAGTTTGCTAAGCCTCCAGGGGCCAGCTCAGTCCACCCAGAAGACCTGGGTGGTGGTGAAGGTGCAGAAGTGAAGACAGGGCCATAGACAACAACGGTCTGGGGAGGAAAAGGGCTCTTTGTGGCCAACTGGCTGTTTTTCAGTCTAAAGAGGATACTGTTGGAGAAATCCTGAATGAAAGCTGGGGCACCTCTGAGGTCATCTGAGCAGACCACAGCTCTGTTTCTATGTGAATAACACAATGGACTTCAAGAGAATTTAAATTATCTGGCAATTATGGGAGACAATGGACGTTTGTCTTAGCTTTCTTCCCTTTAGCTCACATACCAGTTGCCAGCCAACATACCCAGGGCTGTTTTTACTTCTGTCCACCCAAGAAACTGTATTTACTTAGCATCCTTAATGATATAAGCAAGCTTGCCTGGGTGGAGCTGAACAAGGGAGGATGTCTGGAGAACAAGAGGTTTGTAAAAGGCCTGTAAGGATGCACATTTTGTGTCCCTTTCCTACAACTTTAACTGGAAGGGGATTAAAAGGCCTGATGAAATTATCTAAGTTCACAGCACATTGAAAAGGATGGTTCGTATGGGATTGGTCTCTCCTTGAACCCCTGTAAACAAAGCGTGTCTGAGCTTCCCTACCTGTGCCAATCTGTACATCCCGTATGTCGTGTGCCTGGTTCCATCACTGTGACTCCCTGGGGCAGGTGTTGAAGCTCTGCTTTATTTTCTTTGCACAGCACCTGACACTCCTCAGACAGGCCCTTTAGGACGCTTCCCAAGCAGGGCCATGCGCTGAAGCTAAATGGCTTGGCAAAATCCTCCAAATGGGGCTCGTGCATATGCCTGTGTACGTGCCTGGATCTCTCCCACGGTCTAAGCCTAGTTGGTGTTTTCTGACTCTAACTGAACACACTGAAAGGCATAAAACCTGGCCATTTTCTGTAGCCTGGTTAAAGGATTTATCTTTCAGAGGAAATCCCTAAAGGTGACTCAGGCTTACTCAACTGGCACCAGTGGCATCCAGCTTGGATTGAGTGTTAATTTCAGAAGAGTTTCCCTGGTCATGAAAGTTAATGATCTCATGGCATTGGGCTACTAACTTTGCAAAGGCCAACTGTGGTTCAAGCAGCTGCGACTCCAGTTCTGCACACAACCTGATCAGCTCTCTGACCTGGCAGCCCCGCGCTCCCAGCTGCCGCGCAGAGACGGTCGAAAGGTCGCGCTGTCTCCGAGTCTCCTGTTTCTCGTAGCCTCTTGAGCAGACTATTAACTGAACAGCACCGTGATGCGGAATACTATCCTCCAGCGCAAGGCTAATGCCACCAGATTCATTTTACTTAACAACCTCAGAACTGACTCACAATTGGACTCTGGAATGAAAGGCTAATTGAGTCAGTCTGCTGCAGAAAACATAACCCTGATTGGGGGGATAAAACTAGATATCTGCTCTGAGCATCACCCCAGACAGGTTGGTTTTGTAGAGAAGACTGTCAGCACAGATCCCGGTCCTAAGACAAAACCAAGCCAGTGGACAGCAAGAGTTTCAAAATAATCTTGAGCACATGCAGCATAGCTAAAGCACTAACATTTCCCTGGTTCCTTCACCTTTGACCCACCTCCCCCTGCCATTTATACTTGGAGACAGGATGGCCACTTTCTGTGATTCACATTTTACAGATAGAAAAACCGACATCAGAAGTTTATACAGTGGTTCCTGGAGCCAGCTCATCACCGGCCGACTGGTACCTTTTCACGAATTTTGCGAGTTGGTCAACATCACAGTGGTAGCTTGAAACTGGCCTTGGTGGGAGTATTTACACAATGGTAATCAGCAAGTGCTACAAATCAGGGTCTTGTGCTGTTCTTGGAGAACCAGTTGTTACATATTTACTGGCACAGTGCTCTTTAAAAACCAGCATGATGTCGTCAATCCCAGAGATGAAGGATCTTGGGTCGGGTCTTGGGAGTTGAGTCCCAGCTCTTCCAGGACAGGCTTCCTCTCCCTTTGTGTCAAATGGCATGTGAAATGGTGTCGTAAATTAACCTCCAGTCTCCAGTATTTTCCAAAGAGAGAAAACAGTCCTCCCCAAAGATCCTCACATCCCAGCAGCACAGTCCTCTGAAATCTCTCAAAGCAACGTGTGCAAATGATTACACGTATTGACAAAGCCTCTGACTTCCTGCCCGTTCCATTCACTGAATGATGGGTCAAGTGCCTGTGATAATAACGATGAATAAGTTCCCTGAGCTCAAATAACCTGCCATCTAGAAGCTGAGAGAAACAAGTAAAAAGATTATAATATTACAGTGGCTAGCTCTTGATAAAAGGTAAGAAAAGCTGCTAATGAAAATAACACAACGTGAATGAAGTGTTTAGTATATATTAGGTATGCCTTCATACACTTTATATTTTTCCCTGACAACTCTAATAAGGTAAAGGCTATTACTTTGTTTTCCTTATTTTACAGAGGGGGAAACCACAGCTTGAGAGGCTGTAATACTGAGACTGAGACTTGGAGGATGGCTAGCATCCTTCAGGAAAAGGTGGAAGAGGGTACTCCGGGCAGAAGGAAACAGTATGTGATAAAGTAACCATATTCTTAATGATTATGGAGTGTTTGCACCTGCCAGGCACCGATCTAAGTGTTTGGCATGTATTCACATATTTAATTTTCACAACAACCTTAGTAGGTGATACTATCAGCCCCATTTAA